ATAAAAACGTTCTCATCATATGTGCCCCTTTTGGTGTATATATCCTAATAAAGTTCAGCTTCGAAGAAACAAGTGAAAATGCCACGTTGACAGTTATCCTAGCAGAGGTTAAATCTGCATAATATGCATTTTATGTGCACATGAACTGAGTTTGTGCATATGACTGATCAAGGCAGCCCATTATATATCCTCATATCAACACATTCCTGTGTGTATTTTCCTATGCGCTTTGGCAAACAAATGAGAGTAGTGAAAGGTCACTTTCTTGCCTGAGGGATCTAAAAAAGCTATTTGAAGATACTCTGAACCAAGAAAGGTCCAACTACATAGCTGTTGGGATATTCTAGGGTAGATTATAATTTGTTCACCACTGTACCTATAATGAGTGTACCTAATGAAACCATTCTAGAAATCTGAAAAAGAATGACCTAAATGAACCTTACTGTACATTATTTAATTGACGGCTTAGAAAAAAAAAGCTTTAACCCTATGTAGATATCTTAAGAAAACAAAGATATTAATATTTCCGAACAGCAAGGCGTTAACAAAACAAGAGAACATGGCAAAAATAATAGTATACAAACACAGAAATATAGAGGAAGCACAAGATATGTACAGATACACAGAGGCTTACTTTTTTATATACACAAAAGTTTTATATTACTCTGTTTTAGGAATTATAAGCTGGGAAGATATACTAAGAAACACAGACCCCAACTTATGCCTAGAACAGATTAACTTGGTGGCACTCGATGTATGCACAAGGCTTATTCCTCTAAGAAAAAGGAGGAGTAGATGTAAAATAGAAAGAGACAGGCGCTCCCTTTACAGGCGACGGAAAAGAATAACAGAGCGGCTAAAAGAGGTCAATATATCTGAAATGCGTAGGGAGACACTGGTCAGAGAAATAGCAAGCATCGAACTTAAGCTAAAGGAATCTTATAGGAGTCAGGAATAGCGGGAAGAACTAAAAGCCATAAATGAAATCGAAAGAAACCCAAAGTATTTCTTCTCCTATGCCAAATCAAAGTCGAGAACAACGTCCAGTATTGGGCCCCTACATAAACAAGATGGGTCCTACACAGATGACAGCAAGGAAATGAGTGAGCTACTCAAGTCCCAATATGACTCAGTTTTTAGCAAGCCGCTAACCAGACTGAGAGTCGAAGATCAAAATGATTTTTTTATGAGAGCCACAAAATTTGGTTAACACAAGCCTATCCGATGTTATCCTGACGCCAAATGACTTCGAACAGGCGATGAATGACATGCCCATGCACTCTGCCCCAGGGCCAGACTCATGGAACTCCGTGTTCATCAAGAACTGCACGAGCCTTTTCCATCCTATGGAAAGGGAGCATGAACACGGGGGTCGTCCCACAGTTACTAAAAACAACAGACATAGCCCCACTCCACAAAGGGGGTAGTAAAGCAACAGCAAAGAACTACAGACCGATAGCACTAACATCCCATATCACCACCCATCTAGAAACCCATCAGTTACACAACCCAGGGCAACATGGGTTTAGAACAGGTCGCTCCTGTCTGTCTCAACTATTGGATCACTATGACAAGGTCCTAGATGCACTAGAAGACAAAAAGAATGCAGATGTAATATATACAGACTTTGCAAAAGCCTTCGACAAGTGTGACCATGGCGTAATAGCGCACAAAATGCGTGCTAAAGGAATAACAGGAAAAGTCGGTCGATGGATCTATAATTTCCTCACTAACAGAACACAGAGAGTAGTCGTCTACAGAGTAAAGTCCGAGGCAGCTACGGTGAAAAGCTCTGTCCCACAAGGCACAGTACTCGCTCCCATCTTGTTCCTCATCCTCATATCCGACATAGACAATGATGTCAGCCACAGCACCGTGTCTTCCTTTGCAGATGACACCCGAATCTGCATGACAGTGTCTTCCATTGCAGACACTGCAAGGCTCCAGGCGGACATCAACCAAATCTTTCAGTGGGCTGCAGAAAACAATATGAAGTTCAACGATGAGAAATTTCAATTACTCAGATATGGTAAACACTAGGAAATTAAATCTTCATCAGAGTACAAAACAAATTCTGGCCACAAAATAGAGCGAAACACCAACGTCAAAGACCTGGGAGTGATCATGTTGGAGGATCTCACCTTCAAGGACCATAACATTGTATCAATCGCATCTGCTAAAAAAAATGACAGGATGAATAATGAGAACCTTCAAAACTAGGGAGGCCAAGCCCATGATGACACTCTTCAGGTCACTTGTTCTATCTAGGCTGGAATATTGCTGCACACTAACAGCACCTTTCAAGGCAGGTGAAATTGCTGACCTAGAAAATGTACAGAGAACCTTCACGGCGCGCATAACGGAGATAAAACACCTCAATTACTGGGAGCGCTTGAGGTTCCTAAACCTGTATTCGCTGGAACGCAGGCGGGAGAGATACATGATTATATACACCTGGAAAATCGTAGAGGGACTAGTACCGAACTTGCACACGAAAATCACTCACTACGAAAGCAAAAGACTTGGCAGACGATGCAACATCCCCCCAATGAAAGGCAGGGGTGTCACTAGCACGTTAAGAGACCATACAATAAGTGTCAGGGGTCCGAGACTGTTCAACTGCCTCCCAGCATACATAAGGGGGATTACCAACAGACCCCTGGCAGTCTTCAAGCTGGCACTGGACAAGCACCTAAAGTCGGTTCCTGACCAACCGGGCTGTGGCTCGTACGTTGGTTTGTGTGCAGCCAGCAGTAACAGCCTGGTTGATCAGGCTCTGATCCACCAGGAGGCCTGGTCACAGACCGGGCCGCGGGGGCGTTGACCCCCGGAACTCTCTCCAGGTAAACTCCAGGTAATCATGATGAGTGGTGTACAAGTGATACACAGCCTTCACCTCAACTTGACAAATCAGTCGCAGAGGAAAGGGGTATTCAAATTGTGTAAATGAATGATAACAGTAATTTAACGCATATCTTAGATAAGTTAAACTGGTGCTATCAGGACCTGATAAAAGGTCAGAAATTAAAGAAGTGATTACGGTTTTTGGGAAGGTAAAAGTGTTAAACGTTAAATTATAAGTTGGATAAAGATTTAGATTTTGCCACCGAAGTGGCTAGCTTATTGTGCACCCCACATCCATCGTGAATGAAGAAGTTATTTTATGAGGTTTTCAGTGGCAGTTTACCACGTACTTTTTTGGTCTTTGATCCTTTGGCATTGAACTGTCTCCAAAGATGATTCTTCAGTTGTATAAATTTCCACTCTAGGAGCTACCCTGTAAGGAGCCAGATTTTTTTTGTAGTAAGGGTTTATGGGTGGCACTCGGGTTGGTTGTGGGGGGGGGGGGGGTTGGCTAAGGGACTTGTCATAAACTGCGTTATTATTATTAAGGAGTTGATGGAAACTGTAGGGAAAGCTTCAGCTCTTTGCCCCATTTTGTCGCCGCCACCGAATTTACTCTAGAATAATATTCACTTCAGTAAGTTTATTTAGGTACAAGTACACACGAGTACAATTATCATGCATAGCAACGTTTATGTAAATTATCAAGGATAACCCAAAAAGAAGTCGGACGTGATTTATTTCCATTGGGATCCTTGATTTCCATTGGGGTAATTTTACTGTGCAATACATTAATCTTGCTGAACTGGTACAGCCAGCATAATTTATGTACTGTATTCGTGTAAGTTATACAGACGATACGTTTATTAGGCCTAAACACTTGTGTGGTAATCATTTTTGTTTTTATATGGGGTGGAGAACCTACCATTACATTTTATGATGCCTTTAATTTTCACGGAGTAGACTGGTAGGTCAGCGGTAGGTTGGGTTAGATAAAATTCGTCAGGAAACAGGACAAGTGTTTCCTGACGCTGGACTCAGTCATGTGATGACCCGCCACTGCAGCTTACCTGGCCACTCCTTTAAAAATTAAGGTAATATTATACCCCTGTCAAATGACCAAAGCTTTACTGAGCGATCTTCATAACTAAGCCCTGCGTCGCCATTTTTTTTTTAATTCTGATAAGTAAAATACCATTTTGATTTGTATGTATGTTAAGTTAATGAAGTGAAAATTAGTGGTTTAATCACTACTATGTTAGAGGTGTCCTCTTAAATCCAAGTGTGTAGTAGCTATCAATGCTGAACGGATGAGACTCGATGCTAATAGTGGGTAAAGATGGGTCATTATAGTTGGTCAGTGGATAACAAATATATTTTGTTGCCATTTGAACGGCTAATATTAATCACTGGTCTGTTATTGCCATTATTAATAGGCCGACTAATTGGTTGACCAGTGTGGGGAGTCAATATTGGTTGGAAAATGTGGGTCATTATTATTGGCTGGTTAGCAGTACAGTTATACATGACTGGAGCAGCTGCCAAATAGTCATCGAAACTAACACTAGCTTTATACAGGTTGGACAAATATACGAGAAGGGCTAGGTGTGGGCCAATATACTGCAGTACTCTCCAGTTCACATGCGACCATGCTTTCAACGCTGCATCGTTCCATTACTTCTTCCTCTGTTGATAAATCTGGCCCACCTCGAAATTTTCGAACCTGACTTCTTTGCACTAGCGGACCTTGCCACATGGTTACATGTGGCAGGGTCAGCTAGTGCAAGGAAGTCAGGTTCGAAAATTTCGAGATGGGTCAGAGATTTATCAATAGAGGAAGAAGTGATGGAACGATGCAGCGTTGGATCCTTTCTGTCTTTAATTTGTACGTTTCAGCATTAGATTGATAAACCCAAATGTGTGAGACGTATTTCCAAGTTACGAAGGTGTGGGATGTCTTAATTTTATGTGCTCTTCTGTCCTTATGCTTATGGAAGAAGTTAAACTCGTGGGGGGGCCATATAGCACCTGGGAATGGGATGTAATCAAGTTCAATCCAAGGAAGAGGAAGATAGTTCTGATTCCTTATGACTGTTGAAAGGTGTTCATGTGAAGCAGCAAAAGTAATAATTGGTGATGTGTGTGTGTGTGTGCAGGAGTGGGCAAGACGTCGCTGGTGACTTGCTATGAGACAAAGACCTTCCACAAGAACACCAGTTCCACCATCGGCGCTTCCTTCAGCAACGTGGAGATACTACTGAGTGATACTAAGGTCAGGATGCAGGTATGGCAATTTGTATCCTGTTACGTATGTACAGTATATCTTAAGAATTAGATTCAGTACTGTATTACGTATATTTTTCGGTTTACCTATACTGTGAGTATGGGTTTATAATCACTTGTGTACAAGACCACTTGCACAAAATTAAACTTTTTATTTGGAAACATTTCATTCCTGGGACTGCGCTGTATGACCTTTGTAAGTTTAGCGCTTTTTTTATTATAATTCACTAGTGGGAGATTTGTCAGTCCAGTACAGAGCACAGGAGAGATTATCAATGCACAGTGAGTGTGTGAGTGTGTGTGAGTGTGTGTGAGTGTGTGTGAGTGTGTGTGAGTGTGTGTGAGTGTGTGTGAGTGTGTGTGAGTGTGTGTGAGTGTGTGTGAGTGTGTGTGAGTGTGTGTGAGTGTGTGTGAGTGTGTGTGAGTGTGTGTGATGTGTGTGAGTGGTGTGTGGAGTGTTTGAGTGGAGTGATGGAGATGTGTTTGTGAGTGATGTGAGTGTGTGTGTTGAGTGTGTGTGAGTGTGTTGAGTAGTGTTGGTGAGTGCTGTGTGAGTGTGTAGTGTGTGTGAGTGTGGAGTGAGTGCTGATGTGAGTGAGTGGGTGTTGATGTTGAGTGTTGTGTGAAGTGTAGTGTAATGACGTGTGTGTGGAGAGTGTGTGTGTGATGTGATGTGTGTGAAGTTGTTGTGGTGGTGTGTTGGTGTGCAGTGTGTGGTGGGATGTGCGTGTGGTGAGTTGTGTGTAAAGTGGTGAGTGTGTGTGTGTTGTTGAGTGTGTGTGTGAGTGTGTGTGAGTGTGTGTGTGAGTGTGTGTTGAGTGTGTGTGAGTGTGTGTGGAGTGTGTGTGGTGTGTGTGAGTGTGTGTGTGTGTGTGTGAGTGTGTTGTGAGTGTGTGTGGTGTGTGTGTGTGTGAGTGTGTGTGAGTGGTGTGTGGTGTGTGTGAGTGTGTGTGAGTGTGTGTGGTGTGTGTGAGTGTGTGTGATGTGTGTGTGAGTGTGTGTATATATTTGTATTTATTATGTTGAAATGTTGTCGTGCAGTATATGTGAATGGTATTAGCATGAACTCATTTAAATTAAGTATTTTAAAATTTATCATTATACTTAAAGATATATTATTTTATATATATAAAATTATAAAAATATTTAATTTTAAAAAATTGTGATCGTGCCGAATATGTAAAACGTCAATTAGCAAGAACCATTTAAATTAAGTACCTATCTAAAATTTTCTTATACGTTTACAGATATATTTATTTAATTAATTAATGTAAAAATTTTAATTTTGTTCAAAAGATCTTAGAAAATTTACTAACCTTATTATAACAAAACAATTTCTATTTTAGGCCTAACCAATGAACATATTTGATTTGCTTACTATTTAATACAAATCAACACGTGAAATATATTTTTTCTAGGTTCAGAATAATTTTGCGAATATTATTCATACACAAATTTTCGCTATGTCTTATATCAAGATGACGTTGTTTATTTAAGCCAAGATGCATTTCTTTTGAGAATATATATATATATATATATTATATATAATATATATATATATATATATATATATATATATATATATATATATATATATATATATATATATATAATATATATATATTATATATATATATATATATATATATATATATATATTATATATTATATTATATATTTTTCCCAAGAAACCGGTCATACTCCCCCGAGGCAGGGCGACTTGAAAAGAAAAACGAAAGCTTATCTTTTTAAAATTAATAATGTATAAAGAAGGGGTTACTAGCTCATTGCTCCTGGCTTACAAAGAAAGCATTCTGTTCCAGTTCTCCATGGATAATATATACAGTGCTAGTCACGGCATTATGCCGGATGAGTGCCCACGGCATAATGCAGAGACTAAAATCAAAGGCCTACCATGCAGGGGAATCTTTTTTCGTCAGTGCATTATGCCTGGTAACAGCCATTAGCAGGTCATGGCCTGCCGCCGCACTCCACAGTGACTTTTCAGTGCTTACGTGGCTGCCGTGGTGAGAGGAAGTCTTATACTTTTGTCTCTCATTTGCCCTATCTTTTGTCCGGTGTTCCCTTTGGTTTTGGGCTATACATGTTAGATTATGGGTAAAAGGAAGTCTTTAACACCTGAAACTATAGCTCAAATCATAGGACTTCACAAAGCTGGGTACCAGACGAAAGAAATGGTGGAGAATGTTGGTGTGTGAGCATTCAGTGAGGAACTGGGTGCAGCGTTTCAAGGCTGGTAGAACCCACATCTCTCAGAGGTGTCTGTAAGAACTGATAACAGATGTGTCAACTGGGCTACAGTAGTCACCGCCAAGTTAAGAAACCGATCCTCTCCAAGCTACAGAAGAAACGTAGGCTGGATTATGCAAAGAAATATCTTCACTGGAATCCTCAACAGTGGCTTGAAGTACTTTGAAGTGATGAAGCAACCTTCACTGTCACCTGTAACCGTGGGGGACGTGTACCGGCCCAGAGGTAGTGACCCGCTACACCCACACTACACCTATGGGGCCACCAAACACCCAGGTGTTTCAGTGCTTAGTGTGTTGATGAATTCATTGTGCTTCCCAAAAACCAGTATGATTACTGGAGTTGTGTGACAATTTACCTGAAGTGCTTGACAAGTGTGGGGCTATGGTTTTTATACAGGACGTTGCACTGTGTCATACTGCCAAATCTGTAGTTCAGTGGCTTAAGGATTGTGAAGTGAGGTTCTTTAATGACTGGCCAGGCAATTCCTCAGACCTAAACCCTATTGAGAACCTCTGGTCAATAGTGAAGCGAAGTTTACTGGGCTAGGATATCAGTTCCATCCCACAGCTGGAGGCTGTTCTACACGAGGCATGGAATAATATGCCTCCCCAATTATAATTATAATCATGGGGAGCGCTAAACCCGTAGGATTATACAGCGCATGTGGGGGGGATGGAAGGTATTCAGGTTCAATTCAGGGAACCGGAGCACAGATCCAATTCCCTAGATCAAGAGCCCCTCACCAACGTCAAGGAACCTCCCTTGAGGGGTATGCCTCCCCAAACCCTCAAGAATTTGTGAGAGTCTTTCTAAATGGCTGGGGGACGTGATTAAGCATAAAGGACACAGCACCAAGTATTAAAACCTCAGTAAGTGTGAAAATATATATATTATAATCTTTCAAAACTAGGGATGCCAAGCCCATGACTCTTCAGGTTGCTTGTTCTATCTAGGCTGGAATATTGCTGCACACTAACAGCACCTTTCAAGGCAGGTGTAATTGCTGACCTAGAAAATGCAGAGAGAACCTTCACGGCACACATAACGGAGATAAAATACCTCAATTACTGGGAGCGCTTGAAGTTCCTGAACCTGTACTCCCTGGAACGCAGGTGGGAGAGATGCATGATTATATACACCTGGAAAATCCTAGAGGGACTGGTACCAAACTTGCACACGAAAATCACTCACAACGAAAGCAAAAGACTCTGCAGACGATGCAACATCCCCCCCCCAATGAAAAGCAGGGGTCACTAGCACGTTAAGTGTCAGGGGCCCAAGACTGTTCAACTGCCTCCCAGCATACATAAGGGAGATACCAATAGACCCCTGGCTGTCTTCAAGCAGGCATTGGACAAGCACCTAAAGTCGGTACCTGACCAGCTGGGCTGTGGTTTGTATGTTCGATTGTGTGCAGCCAGCAGTAACAACCTGGTTGATCAGGCTCTGATCCACCATGAGGCCTGGTCACAGACCGGGCTGTGGGGGCGTTGACCCCCGGAACTCTCTCCAGGTAAGATAAGATAAGATTTCGTTCGGATTTTTAACCCCGGAGGGTTAGCCACCCAGGATAACCCAAGAAAGTCAGTGCGTCATCGAGGACTGTCTAACTTATTTCCATTGGGGTCCTTAATCTTGTCCCCCAGGATGCGACCCACACCAGTCGACTAACACCCAGGTACCTATTTGCTGCTAGGTGAACAGGACAACAGGTGTAAGGAAACGTGTCGAAATGTTTCCACCCGCCGGGAATCGAACCCGGGCCCTCCGTGCGTGAAGCGGGAGCTTTAGCCACCAGGTTTGTCTTTTGGTACATGTGTGGGGAAGATGCGGCATAATGCCATGACTAGCACTGTGTGTGTGTGTACTTGCCTAATTCACCTAATTGTGGTTGCAGGGGTCGAGACTCTGCTCCTGGCTCCGCCTCTTCACTGACTGCTACTGGGTCCTCCCTATCCCTGCTCCATGAGCTTTATCATACCTCGTCTTAAAACTATGTATGGTTCCTGCCTCCACTACATCACTTGCCAGACTATTCCACTTCCTAACAACTGTGTGGCTGAAGAAATACTTCCTAACATCCCTTTGACTCATCTGTGTGTGTTTTATTATTTATTTAGAAAAGTCAAGTGCAAAAGGCATCAGGACAGCATTGTTTCAACATTTAAAGTGTGCTCAGGTAAACTGATGTACACATTTTGAAGTTTAGTTGAGTAGCCTTACCTTACCTAGCTCAACCTAAAAGAACTAAAATTATATGGTTCATATACGTACTAGTTTTAGAAATGCTCTACGGCAAGTGTAATTTAAAGTGTTAGAAAATCAGGGGTATATTTTGAGGACAGATTGAATAGTGTTAATATGGGTGTCTTGTACATATTTTCTGGTTCAGTTTAGCCATTTTTGAGCATTTTAATTTGTGGTGAATTAATAATGATAACCAAATGTGTAAAAAAAATTTGTTTTTACAGGTGTGGGATACGGCTGGCCAGGAAAGATTTCGTTCCATGGCACCCATGTACTATAGAGGTGCTAATGCTGCTTTTTTGGTGTTTGATTTGACCAAGTATGAAACATTTACTGATGTACAATCCTGGGTTACTGGTAAGTTAAGAATTGTTCTTTTTTTTTTTTTTTCCATTTTTATGTCACTTTAATGTACAGAATTTGCTATAAAAATCTAGGTTACCAAGCAGAATATCTCGAGTGTTTCTATTCTGCCAGTGTCTTTATCAAAATATGTAGTGTGTTGTCTAATGTGATGTGCACATCGATTTCTGAATTACTAAAGAGCCTGAATGATTCTAAATCTACCTGTATAGGAAGGCCCTGCTTATAAGCAGGTTAGAGGTTCCGAGCCATGCTGTAAAGTGAAAATCGCTGTAAAGTGAAACCCTGCCTTTTTCACTTTCAAATGTATATAAAAGCCTGACAACATGTTTACACTATTATATATTAAGCAAGCAATAGAGCTAGGTTTAAACATGCATATTCAGTACACACATTATTTACCTTAAAATATTTTCATCCTTACTTTATAGTGAGTGGTGAATATATTTATTGTAGGAAGTCTAAATAAATGAAGAATGGGTATAACTGAAAACTGCTGCATTAGTGAAACACCGTAAAGCAGGACCCGCATGTAGTTAAATGCCTCTAACGATTTTCATAATGGGAGAGTAATGTCTGGCAGCAAGTAATAAACCACAGTTAATAATAAAACAATGTTCACTATATACAGTGTGAGGAACAGGTGTACTCGCCTGATTGTGGTTGCACAGGTCGAGACTTGGCTCCTGGCCCCGCCTCTTCACTGACCGCTACTGGGTCCTCCCTCTCCCTGTTCCATGAGCTTTATCATACCTCGTCTTAAAACTATGTATGGTTCCTGCCTCCACTTCATCACTTGCCAGACTATTCCACTTCCTAACAACTCTTGACTGAAGAAATACTTCCTAACATCCCTTTGACTCATCTGAGTCTTCATCCTCCAATTGTGACTCCTTGTTTCTGTGTCCCATCTCTGGAACATCCTCTCTCTGTCCACCTTGTCTATTCCACACAGTATTTTGTATGTCATTATCATGTCTCCCCTGACCCTCCTGTCCTCCAGTGCCGTCAGACTGAGGTCCCTTAACCTTTCTTTGTAGGACATTCCCCTTAGCTCTGGAACCAGCTTTGTCGCAAACCTTTGCCCTTTCTCTAATTTCTTGACTTGCTTGACCAGGTGTGGGTTCCAAACTGGTGCTGTGTACTCCAGTATGGGCCTGACGTACAGTGTACAGAGTCTTAAACAACTCCTTACTGAGGTATTGGAACGCTATTCTCAGGTTTCCTAGGTGCCCATATGCCGCAGCAGTTATCTGGTTAATGTGTGCTTCCGGCAACGTGTTCGGTATTATACTCGCCCCTAGATCTTTCTCCTTGAGTGAGGATTGCTGTCTTTGGCCGCCTAACCTATACTCTGTCTGCTTTCTTCTTTGCCCTTCCCCGATCTTCATGACTTTGCATTTGGTGGGGTTAAATTCTGGGAGCCAGTTGCTGGACTACGTATCCAGCCTGTCCAGGTCTCTTTGTAGACCTGTTTTATCCGCATCCGATTTAATTCTCATTAACTTCCCATCATCTACAAACAGGGACACTTCTGAGTCTATACCTTCTGTTATGTCGTTCACATATACCAAGTATAGCACTGGTCACAGACTGACCCCTGTGGGACCCCGCTTGTCACAGGCGCCCACCGTGATACCTCATAATATACCATGACTCACTGTTGCCTCTGTCAGGTATTCTCTGATCCATTGCAGTGCTCTTCCTGTTATACATGCCTGATCCTCTAGCTTCTGCACTAATCACTTGTGAGGAACTGTGTCGAAGGCCTTCTTGCAGTCCAAGAAAATGCAATCAACCCACCCCTCCCTCTCACGTCTTACTTCAGTTACCTTGTCATAAAACTCCAGTAGGTTTGTGACACAGGATTTGCCTTCCGTGAATCCGTCGTGTATAAGGTGCACAATTTCCACTTCTTTTCAAACATTTATAAATATGTATGTTAAACCATGGTGACATCACACAACCCTGTCTAAGGTTTACTTTTTCTGGAAAATAATATCCCTTACTCATACATAAGCTAGCCTGTGTCTCGCTATTCATGTCAAAGATCTTTACCTACCACTTACGTACAGCCTATCCTCGCTTAGCGGTGTACTCATTTACCAACGACTCAGACATATGACAGGCTCTCTGACTAGTATATATACCTAAATAGTGTATATTTGAGCAGATTTCCTCTTATTCTGATTATTACAATACAGTGGACCCTCGAATACCATAATCCCTTTTCTGTGTGTAAAACTATAGTTCTCCTCTATAAAATGTATTTTTTGTTTATATTTCCCATAAAAAATGTAAATCCAATTAATCCATTCCAGACACCCAAAAATATTAACAAAAAATACATTTTATGGAGAATAACTATAGTTTTACATTCAGAAAAAGGATTATGAAATTCGAGGGTCCACATGGTGCAGCCTCTCCTCACTTAACGATGGAGTTCCGTTCCTAAGACCACATCGGCAAATGAATTCATCGCTAAGTGAGGAGCATATTATAATGGTAGTGGGTTTGTGTCAACCATCTTTGATATTGTTTTAATGTCACCTTAGCACCATTTTAACATTTTGGTGTATTTTTAAATATTTATACAGTACAGTGGACCCCCGCTTAACGATCACCTACCAATGCGACCAATTATGTAAGCGTATTTATGTAAGTGAGTTTGTACGTGTATGTTTGGGGGTCTGAAATGGACTAATCTACTTCACAACATTCCTTATGGGAACAAATTCGGTCAGTACTGTCACCTGAACGTACTTCTGGAATGAAAAAATATCATTAACCGGGGGTCCACTGTACAGTACAGTACTGTATACTGTAATACACAGAATAGAGGAAATCAGCTCTAATATACATTATTTAGGTATGCACATTACTGTATCAACATTTAAAAATATACCAGAAATGTTATAAATGGTGCAAAGGTGACATTAAAATAATATCAGAGATGGTTGACACAAACCCGCTATCATTATAGTATGCTCCTCACTTAGCGATGAATTCATTTGCCGATGTGGTCTTAGGAACGGAACTCTGTCATTAAGTGAGGAGAGACTGTATTACATTTGTAACATCTTCCACATTGCTCCATATTTTTTTTTTTTTTTCAATAATAACCCTACCATACACTTGATCTGGTATTAAGCAGGCTTAATTCTTATTCTGCTCTCTGCCAATCCTTAGGTATCTTATTCCTTTTTATGTACATGTTAAAGAATAAATGCACCAACTGCTCCAAAACTATATCCCCATTGGGAAAAGCTACACAGGGCAATAAAATTTATCCTAAGTCTGCATACTAGAATTTTTATTAGTCTGCCCAAAATGCCTAGGCATACTAGGCAGGCTAGTGGCCTTTTTTTTTTTTTTTTTTCCCCAACAAGTCGGTCGTCTCCCACCGAGGCAGGGTGACCCAAAAAAGAAAAAATCCCCAAAAAGAAAATACTTTCATCATCATTCAACACTTTCACCACACTCACACATTATCACTGCTTTTGCAGAGGTGCTCAGAATACAACAGTTTAGAAGCATATACGTATAAAGATACACAACATATCCCTCCAAACTGCCAATATCCCAAACCCCTCCTTTAAAGTGCAGGCATTGTACTTCCCATTTCCAGGACTCAAGTCCTACTATTTGAAAATAACCGGTTTCCCTGAATCCCTTCACTAAATATTACCCTGCTCACACTCCAACAGATCGTCAGGTCCCAAGTATCATTCGTCTCCATTCACTCCTATCTAACACGCTCATGCATGCTTGCTGGAAGTCCAAGCCCCTCGCCCACAAAACCTCCTTTACCCCTCTTTCCAACCCTTTCGAGGACGACCCCTACCCTCTTTTCTTCCCCTATAGATTTATATGCTTTCCATGTCATTCTACTTTGATCCATTCTCTCTAAATGACCAAACCACCTCAACAACCCCTCCTCTGCCCTCTGACCAATGCTTTTATTAACTCCACACCTTCTCCTAATTTCCACACTCCGAATTTTCTGCATAATATTTACACCACACATTACCCTTAGACAGGACATCTCCACTGCCTCCAACCGTCTCCTCCCTGCTGCATTTACCACCCAAGCTTCACATCCATATAAGAGTGTTGGTACTACTATACTTTCATACATTCCCTTCTTTGCCTCCATAGATAACGTTTTTTGACTCCACATATACCTCAACGCACCACTCACCTTTTTTCCCTCATCAATTCTATGATTAACCTCATCCTTCATAAATCCATCCGCCGACACGTCAACTCCCAAGTATCTGAAAACATTCACTTCTTTGTAATTGTATATAATTGGTACTGTAACTGTAATTGGTACTGTACAGTACCAAAAAATTTCTTTTAATTTAGCATGTTTTAAAGTCATTTGTCTTTTTTGGCAGAGTTAACTAGCCGTGTTGGTGATGGATTAATGCTTGTAGTTGTGGGTAATAAGAAGGATCTTAGAGATGACAGAGTGGTAAACAAGATCACTGCCCAGGAATATGCCCAGTCCATAGGAGCATTCTTTGTTGAGACTTCAGCTCTTGACCCCTCAGGCAAGTTTCATTTTTATCACCCAGGGCTTTGCTCCTAAGTCCATTAAAATGCAAGTGTGTTGCCTTCATGTATCCCCATCTCCATAGTTTTTTATATTGAAGTTTACATATGGATATTGTACATGTACCTCTTTTCACAGTGCATTTAAACACACTTTAATGTACAAATCATGATTCTATTATTACACAGCATGTAAGGGTCTGAAACCAGATTATTTATCATTTAGTACTGGTATGTTATCTTTGTATTCATTCAGCATATATGTGCAGTAGCTTCAAACAGTTTTACTTACCACACTTGTTACAGATTTCCAGTTGAAGGTGGCATCTCTCGTCCTTTTCAAATGTCAGTACAATACATTAATTACATTTTTCCTTTATCAGTTTTCCTCATTAATGGAGTGTTTAAGATGAGCATGTAATGATTTTTTGTGTACCCTATATTTTTTTTTGTTTATTGAGGGGAATTGCTAGACCTGTAGAGTCATACAGTGCCTTGGAAATGAGAAGTATTCAGGCTTGATTCAAGGAAGGGGAAGATAGGTCCACTTCCTTGGATTTTGAGTCTCTCGCTTGCGTCAAGGTGCAGTAGGGCCCCACTTACACGGCAGGTTAGGTTCCAGGCCACCACCTGAAAGCGGAATGCCATTTTCTTCCACTTATAAATGCTAGACAACAAGTTTACACTAATTTATCTTAAGATGGTAATAGAACTAGGCATTAAAAACAAAAAATAAAATGCACAGTACACTCATTACTTACCTTAAAATATTTGTAGTCTTAATGTAGGGTGAGAGGCGAGTCATATTTATTTGTAGGAAGTAAGGTGTGGGAAGTATTGTAGCCAGCCAGGGCAGCCCACCCTACCCTACCAGACACCAGCCCACCCACACGTAATGTAAACAAACAGACATATCTGCTTTTGGTTGATGCACGTTCATTCCCATGTCTGTGAATCTTATTACAAACACTTTACGTTGTGTACAAGTTGTCTTCATGTTGATGCAGTAGAATAAGTAGAGGAACATTCCCATTCTCATGTAACACCATTTTTAGAAGAAATGATGCTCTGAGTGAAGGCATACAAAAGTAATCATTTTCTAGTTACCCCCAGTAATAGCGTACACATTTTCTCTGATGTTGGACTAGAGAAAACGTTATTCTTACTGTGGGGTGTATTTATCATGTTTTTATGTTATGCAGTATGTTTATTATATAATTTTGAAAAAATATAGATTAATGGAAATGTCTATATGTAATATACATGTATATGACATTTAATGTGCCCAAGAGATTATTATTAATATGGCATCAAGAGTAGAGAGACTCTTGGTGATTTTAATGTGTACCTGCATGCCAGCACAGTGTGTAAGTATATTTAGCTACAGGTACACATAAGTATAATTATCAGAGTACATATAGAATATGCAATAACTTGAAATTTCAGAAAGTTTCCAGACATAATAGAGATGTGCTCACGGAGAATGTAAATAAACCGGGTGGGGCGTGCCGTACAAGACGGGTTGCCATATAGTGATTTCTGGTCATAATTTGAAATTGCTGTATTAGCAGAGCACCGTAACACAAAATGCCGTAAAGCGGGGCCCTACTGTATCCTCCTTGAGGAGTCTGTATATCCTTGAAAATTATTTTTGAAAAGCCATTTGATACCATTGCATTTTTGTAATTTTTTTTTTAACATGTTGGCTGTTTCCCACCGAGGCAGGATGACCCGAAAAAGGAGAAACACTTCATCATTATTCACTCTATCGCTGTCTTGTCAGAGATGTGCCAATACTATAGTTCAAAAACTGCAACATATCTCCACCCCTCCTTCAAAGTACAGGCACTGTACTTCCCACCTCCAGGGCTCAAGTGTGTGTAACCAGTTTCCCTGAATCCATTCATGTTACCTTGCTCACACTCCAACAGCATGTCAAGTCATGAAAACCACTTGCCTCCACTCATTCCTATCTAACATGCTCACACATGCTTGCTCTGTCTAAATCCCCTTGCACACAAAACCTCCTTTACCCCCTCCCTCCAACCATTCCTAGGAGAGCCTGCACTATGTAATATAATTCTTAGCAAAATGCTAGTATTTTAAGATTGCTATAGTAGAACTGCTTAAATAACTAAAATTGCAACCCATTGTTCCATAGTTTATATTTTGGTTTCTTTTGGTTTAAACTAAATACAGTACTGTATATGCCCCTGTTTTCTGTATTCAGCTGATAGTTTGTACAGTACACCCAACTATTATATTCCTCTGTACAACCAAGTAATTTGTCAAAATAAAAAATCTAATCTAATCTACTTGGAAATGGTCACAACTCAAAGTATACACCTTCATTCAATTAGCAGACCATAGAAACTCTTAACATTAAGTAAACAAAATGTGTAAACCTGGCTTCGAAGACTTTAAGAGGCTAGCTCAAAAAATTTCCTTGGTACACTCTTCCATTATCATTGGAGGCTTGTCAGTCTATGGCTTAACTATAGAAAATAAATTGTAAAATTACAGTACCTGGTACTCATTGCACTGATATTTGCTTTCATTCTCTTATTTCTAATTATTTTATATTTCTAGAGTAGCTTAAAATGCCTAGTGCATGAAACCTTTCTCTTGCAGGAGTGCAGGATATGTTTAACATAGTGGCTACTGAGATGGTTAAACAGGCAGAAAATGATGAGAACTCGACTCTTAGAATATATTCAGCTGATGTAAGTAGATTGAAGTTTAACATTCATTGAACTTTCTCATTACTGGCAGTGTTAACCTTAACTAGCAGGTTGCCGAGCCAGGCTGTTCATATTTTGGATGGAGGGAATATCGAGGAAGTGGACATAGATGTTCAGGAGTGGGCACATCGGTAGATGTCTATAAAAGACAAGGTGAACCACAGAATAGATGAAGAGAAAAATGTGAGTGGTATGTTAAGGAATCTGTGGAAAAAATTCATCTGTGGAGTCCAGAAGGGGAATATACCAGGGTATAGTGGTGCCAGCACTTTTATATGGGTGCGAGTCATGGGTTTTGAATGCTGCAGTGAGGAGGCGGCTAGATCATTTTTGAGAACAATGTGTGGTGAATATGTAGAGAATTTGGAGCACAGAAATTAAAAGGCAATGTGTGGTTGCCAAGGGTATAATTCAGAGGACTGAGGGGGAGTTGTTGAGGCAGTCTGGTCATGTAGAGAGGATGGAAAGGGATAGTCTGACAAATTGGAGTGTGAGCAGAGTTAGGTTTAGCAAGAGATATTGGGAAACCAATTAGTTGGACTTGTCTTGGAGGTGGGAAGGGCAGTGCCTGCACTCTGAAGCAAGGGCAGTGATGCTGCAATTAGATGGTAATCTGAATTGTGATTTCACCACATTTTTAGAAAGACATTGATTGTATGAATGATGAGTTTCTTTCCTCTGGGTCACCCTGCCTTGGTGGGAGACAGCCCTTGGAGTTAAAAGTGCCAGTCACTAGTTAGTAGAATGAACTTGAAATGTAACATATAACTAGTTATTGAATAATTGGAAAGACAATACTACTGAGATATAATACTAATCTGATTATATTACTGTATTTCTAGGGTAAAGATGAATGGAACCAAAGTGCATCATCAAACATAAACTTAAATGAAAAGCCTGTGCTGGAGAGAGACAGATGTTGCTGACTTCTTAGTAGTGCCATAAACAGCAGAACATATACCAAAAAATAGTATGAGTAAATTCACTTACGAGGAGAATGTCACAAATATCGTTAATTTTCCAAATTTAGTTACACAATGTTTTTGCAAAAAAAAAAAAGTGCAAACAATTTTTGCTTAAACGTTACTGTTATGAATGGCTGTGTAGCTGATCAGTCTGTTAAGTACGACTAGAATTTAGCTAACACTATGCATGGCAGAAAATGATATTTGCAATGCAAAGATTCATAACCCAGTCTTTCATGTATTGGATTTGCATAATTTTGTGAAACATCGGTTAAAAATAATTTTAATTTTTCCTTTTATTGTTAATGTTATTGTATTGTAAATATTACACTGTAGAACTTTGTTTTTAAATACAGTATCATGCTTAAGACCACTTGGGCTCAATAATTTGCAATTTAACATGTTTTATAACTGAATCACAGTTTTCAACTAATCTTAGTTTCCATATAAAACATAAAAATGGTAAAATAAAATATGTATATACCATAATTAAAAAATGTACTGTAATATAAAACATTTAAATCTATTGTTTTATGCGCTGTATAGCCCTTGTGGCTTAGCGCTTCTTTTTGATTATAATAATAATAATGTTTTATGACAAGATTAATGCATGTTACTGAAGTAGAATAAACACCTTAATAAATTCTTAAACAACTTTATATATTTTATTTTAGTTGTATGAGAAAACTAAAAATTCATAGTTTAATTTTCTTTTATAATGCTACTGAATGTCTTGTCACTTTGGATTTAGTGTTTTTATTATTTTTATGGTGAGTGTTGTACTGCAGGTGGATGAGCAGAGGTGCCACTAAAGTGTTACGTACTCTACAATATACAAGAGTCCACATCAGTCTGTTGCTAATTTCAAATTGTACTAGTTTTCATGTGATAATTTGCAGATGCCTCTTCTGATCAACTTCAGCTTCAGTCCTTTAACACTGATAATGCAAGTTTTTTCTGAGTGACTTCGAACATACAAGTGCTAGTGTATTTTTCTAAAAGGAAGGTTCGTATTGTTAGGCTGTGTCAACTCTAATTTGACTATTTTATTCAAATAATGATTTTTTTTTACTTTAATTTACTAATTATGATATTGGTCTGTATAGCAACTAAAATGCCTTCTCTGACAAGCTTTAAACTTTCAAAACTGGATTATCTTATTGTAATTAAAGGAAGGTTTGGATTGGATTTTTGGCTATGTAGGTGCCAATTTGCCTTTATACTGAAGAAATTGGGATAATGTTTCCATGCAATAATTAGTAAATGGCTCTTTTGATTGGCTTAAAAATTTTCAGTGCTGGTTGGTATATTTAACAGCATAAGAAACTTGTGCCACACTCAGGATTGTTCATTTTGCATGCTACGAGGTACAGGGGGATAAGTAAGTTCGTGGGATACCTTTCTTGGCTCGAGTAACAACCAGAACAATGCATTAAATGATTTTTATTAAATATTTTATTTCATACCAATCTTTTAACCTGAAAAAAAAAAAAAGGCGAGTCAAGGTAATTTAAAGATACATTCTCACTCCTGAAAAATAAATGTGCACATATGAAATAGTAACAATGCTCTTTTACAATGTTTATGGTTCCAAATGATACTTTACAAAAACAGATTCACTGTATTTACAATTTTAAGCATAGGGTGGTTTTAACTTTCATTAAACAATATTTATAAATGTCTATACACTCATTTCTACTAAAGTGATATTTTAAAATTCTGCAGTTACATTCAAGGCACTAGTATGTAGATATATACAGCATATATCTACACACAAAATACAAGTGTTAAATCAATGTTACTTTATGTACATAACATTTCTACATGTGCAGTTCACATGCTCAATGCATTGGCACAGGTCATCTTAGGTCCATGTAAGACACCTTTTCCTGATAAACGAAACAGTATATACATGAGGTGTCTATTTCTCACTATGTATAGAGAATTTAATCTGCATGTGATTATACAGAACTGCTGCCTCAATGATCCTTGTGCACTCAACAGTGTTAATTCTAGCAAACTAATGTCCACAAAATTAAATTTACATTGAGAAGTTCCTTGATGGTGAGGGGCTCTTGATCTAGGGAATTAGGTCTGTGCTCCAGTTCCCCGAATTAAGCCTGAATACCTTCCATTCCCCACAGGTGCTGTATAATCCTATGGGTTTAGTGCTTCCACATGATTATAATAATTATATAATACATTGAGAAGTGTGTAAAGCATTACTCATTGTATATATATAGTTTTTATTTTCATCCCTACATGAGGGATGACAGTATTAGTGTGTAAAGTACTGCAGTAAATTGTGGCTTATGTCTTTTTAAATAGCAAAACTAGTATACACATCTATAGACAAGTAAATGCTACCCAAGTCTAAATTTAACAAAATGTGGGTGGTAAAATGTAGTACTTTACATACAAGTACATTCCAGAGACTAGGAAGCAGTAAGAATTTGGCACAATACACACAATTATATTGTATGTAATCCTAAAGGTAATTTAAAATAATAGTTATTGCACAGCAATATTCAAGTTTGTTATTGATACACTCCAAGCCTTTTATAAAAATTACAGTATTTGTAATCTAAGGTTAAATAATACATATTCACTAGACAGTTGCATGTGAAAGACATTTGGGTTTGGCACAAAGCAAATACCATGAAATTTTACTTTATCCAGTTTACCCTACCCTGCAGCACTGTATGACTTGTGGGTTTAGCACTTAGTTCTGATTAATAATTTATCCAAGTTACAATTACTATTGGACAGACAGAGGCTTGGAATGAGAGGCAGAGACAATATCAAAGACTTAAAAAAAAAAAAAAAAAAAAAATCTATATGACTTTGTTGGCTTATCCTAGATAAATGCAATCACTTGTTGCCATTCTGCCTACATTGTACTGTGTGTAATAATCACTTGTCACTTTTACATGCCTATATTAATTAATTCCATGTGGAAGTGGAACAGAATTCTTCCTCTAAGGCCAAAGCCATGTGTGTCATAAGGGGTGACTAAAATGCCAAGAGTAAGAGGCTAGTAACTACTACTACTACTGTATACAATACTAAATTTAAAAAGAAACTTTCATTTCTTTTTAGGTTACCCTGTCTTGGTGGGATACAACCAGTTCAATGAAAAAAAAAAAAAAAAAAAAATTCTTGGGTCACCCTGCCTAGGTGGAAGACATATGGTGTTATTTTTTTTTTTTTAACTAAATACGTTTACTCATTATTACAATTTAAATAGAACCTATCAATTTTATTGGTTAAAAGTAGTCCTCGAAAACCTTAGTTCTAACAGAGTCCACTTTAGTTTTGGTTATTTACTATTTTTTTTATTTATTAACACACTTGCCGATTCCCACCAAGGCAGGGTGGCCTGAAAAAGAAAAACTTTCACCATCATTCACTCCATCACTGTCTTGCCAGAAGGGTGCTTTACACTACAGTTTTTAACACTCCTCCTTCAGAGTGCAGGCACTGTACTTCCCATCTCCAGGACTCGAGTCTGGCCTGCCGGTTTCCCTGAATCCCTTCATAAATGTTACTTTGCTCACACTCCAACAGCACGTCAAGTATTAAAAACCATTTGTCTCCATTCACTCCTATCAAACACGCTCACGCATGCCTGCTGGAAGTCCAAGCCCCTCACACACAAAACCTCCTTAACTCACTCCCTCCAACCTTTCCTAGGCCGACCCCTACCCCGCCTTCCTTCCACTACAGACTGATACACTCTTGAAGTCATTCTGTTTTGCTCCATTCTCTACCATTAAACAGCATGCCAGCGCTGTATGACACTTAAGGGTTTAGCATTTTATTTGATTAATGATGGACAACAGCACAAGATCTTGTCATAACTTGCCTCTGGTAAGACAGTGATAGTGCAAATAAGGGTGAAAGTGTTTCTTTTTTCAAGTCGCCCTGCCTTGGTGGGACACGGCCAGCATGTTGGGGAAAAAAAAAATGCTTATATGTACTCGATATAAAACTATATACATATGTAAAAACCATGTGAAGGACTTGGGTAATTTACTAGGGTGGTGGTGTCCATTTCTGTTCCAGTGATCTAAAATTATGGCTCGAATTTTTTTTTTTCTGTATTTGAAAACCCCCCACTAAATTCACATGTCAATCAGTACTGTAACGACCTGATAAAGCTATTGCAAAAATTATTTTCTCTTCGCCTCGGTAAAGATCCGGAGGAGGAACTCTCCAGTCATTTCAGGCTCAAAAGTAGAGGGAATGATAACATAAGTACCAGGAGGGAAACGGAACCTAGTGGTAACCTCACGAGAATTAAGGAAGAATGGCACCTTGGCAATGCTGGGATTATACTTGAAGAACTCTGTGTCGAGCTTTTGTTCTGGTTGCATGTCTGGCGGTAGCTGTGTGAAGAAAAGCTGATGATAATTATCGTGCACCTGATGGCCCCTTCATCTGGCTACCTTGCTGGGGGTATGGAACCCATGCTCTAATGTTATTTATTAAACAGTTCATAGCTAATACATTGGGCTGCAAGGTGACAAGAGCTAAACCTCTATTCTTGTATTTATATTATTCCTCTATTACTAGCACTGACCTAAATGCACCATCATTCTAGCCTTCTGCTTAGTATTAAATTATCTTTCTATCCCATTTCTATGTACTGTACACTCCACTCCTTTCCATGCATTCATTCTTCAATTTCCCTAAAACTTACATTTTTTGTGTAACTTCCAGTAAGTTCCAAAATATCACACACAAATAATGCAGTATGTATCCATAAAATATTTACTACAATGGAACTTGGCTAATGTACTCCCAACATTCAAGGGAGACACATTTGAACACTATTCTAGAGACCAATATCCCTGACAATCATTCAGTTCAAGGTGATGACTCCTCTGACTTATTGACAGCAACCAATTTATTACACAAACTTTGATAATCCTTCCTTTAGCACTCCTCACATTTATCCTTTGATCCTGCATCAATTCTTGCTCTTAAGTTCAGCACTTCTTTTTGATTATAAGTAGTAATAATTTATATCAAGAGCAACAACATGAACCCCTCAAGGGAGGTTCCATAATGCTGATAAAGGCTCTCGCTTCAAGGAATTAGCTTATGTAATTGTTTCAGTGTGGGTAAAGAAGACAAGAGAGAGAAGGAAAACAGAAAATTGAAAAAGACCTAAAAAATGTTGCATTTAGCAATGTTATGAACAAGTGACCTGTTTTCATTAGAATATGAAAAACTCGAATATAAATACTACTTTCAATAGCATTTTCACTACTACTATACTGGGCAATTGTTACTTTTACAAACCTTATATATAGTGAAGCCAATTGGGACATAGTCAACTCCATAACGTTTCAGCTGCCTAACATTCTTCTGCATGAGGGAGACAACTATAGTACAGAGGTCATCATCATCATCAACATCTGGATCCTCCAACTGGACTGAGTACTGTGGGTTGCTTGCAAATGTATCTGAAAAATGAGTGGCTGGCTAGTGACAAATGAACAACTGAAAATATGAGTGAATTACAACTGGTGGCTCATGGGTATGTGTGGATGAGTTTCAGCCCTGGAAAATGCTCCAAGGAAGTAGAGCTGAGATGCCTCATCTTTAGCACTTAAATCTATCACATTTCTTAAAATTTAAAATGGATTTATCACCCTCCAGGTAAACTATCTCCTTTTGTAGCCCATTCTGTTTTACCACTCTGCAGGCTTTTCTAGTACGGTATCCGTACAGCCTCTCTTCTTTCTTAAGTCTATAGCCTCTTATTTTCTGTTTATGCTAAGAGATCTTATTATTTAAAACATGTGACAGGTTTATTAAATGACAATGCACCATATTTAATAGATAAAAGATTCATTTATATGCATCATTAGCTGAAGAGTCACAATTCAGAGTACAGTACAATATTCTTCAACAGCCAGTGAACACTTTCTAACATCAAATGACTTACAACACTATATTGATCAGTATCACACTTCATTGCTCTGTCACCTCATTACATGACACTTCACTGTTCTCTTTACTGTGTCTCATTGCTTAATAGCACCTTACTGTTCTCTCATTACTATACTACTCTGTTCATTCTGACCCCTTCTAATTTTGACTCCGTTTACAAAATGGGATGGCATTCAACGTCACAGTTTCTTGTCCCCTTGTTGACATAAATCACTAGGCAATCTATTTAGATGTGGAAAAAGACACTTATGTACAGTTCAGGACATTTATTAGATGTTCTGAACTGTACATTAGTGTCTTTTTCCACATCTTCTCGGTATCACCATACCATTTCCTCAATCTATTTAGAATATGTCAACAAGGGAACAAGAAGCTGTGATGTTGAATGCCATCCCATTTTGTAAATGTTAAGTAATGAAACACAGTAAAGAGAACAGTTTAGTGTCATGTAATGAGGTGACAGAGCAATGAAGTGCTCTTAAATTGTGCAATACTGATTGATATGGTGTTGTAATTCATTTGGTGTTAGAAAGTGTTCACTGGCTGCTGAAGAATATTGCACTAGCTGTGAACTGTAACTGTTCAGCTAATGATGCACCTATGTGAATCTTGTATCTTTAATTAAATATGGTGTGCTGTCATTTAATAAACCTGTCACAGTTTTAGATGTGTTTAATAAAATTTTCCCCACACATACCTTTATGGGCAATAGTAATACCGGAAAACTACCAAAATATGGCAACTGCTTTATGCACATTTGCTTAAATATTCCTAACACACACACCCATGGGCAACAGTATTACTCATTGCAATTTATCAAGATAGCTACTTTCTTTGTGCATTACCTGAAAACTTACAATACCTGATAACTATCAAGATTACTTTCTGCTATTTGTCTGCATGCCACAATTCCTTTATACAAAAAATTATGTCAATGATTTTTAAACTGCTTAAATAACTTACTAATAAAGTTTCTGCAACCTCCTGCACTATGGTGGGAGGCCCAAGCACCTTCGTATATCATCATCTGCCATCTCTTCTGTACTTGGTCCACTTGATTTTCATTACCATTTTCCTCATCAAAACTATTATGATCAAAGACTTCTGGGGTAACATCACAAACTTCAACAGTTGTGAAGTTCTTAACAAAATCCTGCATGTTAAAAGCAACAAGTGATTATTTAGTAATTATAAGAGGGTACTGTGTACTGTTAGTTGTATACTATCTAAACAATTACCATATAATATTTACACAAATACTACACAGAGGTACAAAGGAATTACAAGTACCATCCGACTTACAACCGAGCTTGGTTCTGACCAACTGGTTATAAGTCAAAATGGATGCAAGTTGAACCTTAGAAAATTGCCAACATACTGGGTAGGGCATAATATCAAACCTTTCCTATATAAAGTACTACCTACATAGTATCCTATGTTACTTTTTACTAAATGTACTACTGTATATCAACATCACAGTTAATACAGTATGATGCTGCTGATAGGGCAAGATAACTCAAAGTGATGCTGCCTTAGTGATGTGAGAGCTCTCCTGAGATGGTGTGTTGGTCGCGAGTAGCGGTCAACTGTTGTACAGTGGTATGCATTGGCCCGCCCAGCCCTGCTGCCAGATGTACGGTCGTAAGTATGAGTGGTTGTATTTTGAGCAGGTTGTAAGTCAGATGGTACTTGTATATGAACTATTTTTATTTATTTTATTATCACACCGGCCGATTCCCACCAAGGCAGGGTGGCCCGAAAAAGAAAAACTTTCACCATCATTCACTCCATCACTGTCTTGCCAGAAGGGTGCTTTACAAATATAAATTAACACAATTTTATTAATAATACATACCTGAAAACTCATCCAGAACTCTCCATCATCATCGAAGGTGAGTCCAAGACGTTTCTTTTCCTCTTCAGTGATGGTAGCCCACTCTGGGGATTTATCACTCCAGGACCCTTTCCATTCTGTTTCATTACCCCATGGATTATGCAGACGAATTAACTCAGCCTTGCCCTAAAATGAATAAAAAACCTGTATCTACAGGAATTGTATAGCAATTTATATAAAATTTCAATTACTGTGATGTATCATTAATTTCCTTATTAATGAGTAATATCTTCATATTATTTAAGTCTCTACACCCAGACGAATGATAAAGCTTAGTGGAAAATATAGAGCATATAAATACGTACTGTCTTTGGACTAATTTTTTCACTGTACAGTACATGTATATGTATGCAAAGTACATGTACAACATGTTATACTGTATATTTTACTCATGTCAAGAACAGAAACCCTGAGGTATTTGATCACTCTAGATACAATCCATAACAGTTGACTAGCACCCAGTTATTTACCTACTGCTAGGTGAGCAAGGGCAGCAGTGTAAGAAATCTAACCCATACACCTCACTTTCCCTATGGACTGGAACCCAGAACCTTGTGGTTCTGAGTCAATTGCTTGGTAATCTGTGCTACAAATCACCTAATGCTCACAATATGGAGGTCCCTCAAGTACTCTAGATTTCATTTCAAGTTAATGACAAGTAGTAAGAAGAGTTTGGATTATGCTATAAATAAATACTGTATTGAACCTATGAATAAGGGAGTTAAAAAAATAATCTAAGTCATGATTATCTGCAGTTCACTTAGAGCCAAGTGGTTATCTGATTCAGATCCCTATAAATCTGGTCATGACACAATAGCCAGTGTGCCACCTGAAAACTCTCCAGATAAACTGTTTGCTCCTACAAGTACATCATACTTTAGTTGTTAATGTTAATATACAAGTGTCCATCACTCTATGCTATAAATGTATTCAAGGCCTTTGCTAGCTGTACTAAACTCAATCAGGACATCAACTCTTAATACTGCACCATAAAAAATCTCAAATGTGCTTTGCAAATTGCATAGATCACATGTGGCAAAAGTATATTGCATATAAGGAATTACTGATACAAATGGGAAATTGCATAGTGAATTTGCATAAAGTAAGGGAAAACCTGTACTGTAAACAATGTGGCCTGTTCAAAATTCTCTCTCATGTAGTGCTCAAGGACCCATACAGGTTTTGCACTTTTTATTATAACAAAAACAATCTTGTCTCATGATGAAAGTACATCTAGAGGCAGAGAGAGAAGTCAATACTGTTTAGTTACAAGTTCACCTAGAAAACTTCATTCATGCAAATGCCACAGATTCCTATCAACCTAGATTCCACTAAAGATGGCTGGCAGAAAGGAAATACAGCTGTTTCCCAGAAGTGTGCAGACTCAATCTAGATTATACCCTCCAACTGTAAACTCCTTAGCCTTCCTTCAGAGTGCAGGCACTGCTATTCCCATCTCCTGGACTTAAGTCTGGTTAACCGGTTTCCCTGAATCCCTCCATAAGTTACTTTGTTTACACTTCAACAGCATGTCCATTAAGAACAACTTGTTTACTGACACCTATTTAACATGCTCACACAATCCTGCTGGATATTAAGCCCATAAAATTCGAAATCTCTTTCATCACCTCCATTCAACCTTTCCTGGAACAACCCCTACCTCTTCTACCTTCCACCTCAGATTTATACACCCTCTCAGTCAACCTATCTCTCTTCATCCTCTCTACATACCCAAACCACCTTAATAACCCCTCCTGAACCCTTTGGTGACCTCGCATCACTTTTCAATTTCTCCGCTCTGAATTCTCTGTATGATATTCACACCATACATTGCTCTTACATAACATCTCCACTGCCTCTAGCCTCCTCCTCACTGCAGCATTCAAAATCCATGCCTCACATCCATATAAAAGTGTTGGTACATTCTCTTTTTGTACCTCCATAGGTAAACTTCTTTCCACAAATTCTTCAACATACTACCTACATTCCACCCCCCCCCCCCCCAATTTACTGACATGTCCACTCCCCAATATTTAAATACATCTACTTTCTCCATACTCCCTCCAATCTAATATTCAATCTATCAATTGCCTAGACTTTTTTGGTGCCCTCATCACCTTGTTATTTTCTACATTCACTTTTAATTTCCTTGTTTTACATACCTACCCAAATTTGTCTACCAACCTTTGTAACTTTTCTTCAGAATCCCCTAAAGGAACTGTGTCATCAGTGTGACTAGTTAATGGTCCAAGTTGGGCTGAAACGTCATCATAAGATTCAGTCTCTTATGCGGAGGTTAGTTGTGTACTGTGTCATCAACAAAGAGCAACTGAGATAACTCCCATTTTTTATAAGATACAACACCTTTCAATTCTACAATCCTTTCTAATGCCCTAGCATTCACTTATTCACTTCTTTCAAAACCCGCCATCTATAAATATGCTAAACAACTATGGTAACATCACACATTCCTGTCCAAGTCCTACTTTCACTTGGATATAGACCTTCTCCCTCCTACATACCCTAGCCTGCACCTCACACTCTGCATGAAAACTCTTTACAGTATTTAATAACCTGCCTATTAATTCATACATTTATAACATCTGCCACATGGCACCCCTATCCACCCTTTATCATAATCATTTTCTAAATCCATAAATGGGACAACTCTTCACCAAGATCTAAGTACTGTTCACTTAAATTCTTAAGTGAAAACACTTTGGAAATACAGTGGTCCCTCGTTTTTCGTAATTAATCCATTCCTGGAGCCGTTACTATAAACGAAATTTACGATTTGCGAATCAATTTTCCCCATAAGAAATAATGTAAATACAATTAATCCGTTCCTGACACCCAGAAGTATTAAAACAAAAAAATTTTTTACATGAAATATACATATAGTACATAAACAATACAATGGGAAATGATGAATGAAACATTAACAGCATAACACTTACCTTTATTGGAGATTCTTCTTAGTGTATGGGAGACTGAAGGAGGAGAGAGATGGATTGTTTACAGTTTGGAAGGGGAATCCCCTTCCAGCAACACCTCAGGTACCAATTGCTTCTCTGGGGTTGCTTCTCTTCTCTGTTTCTTAATACCACTAGGACCACCTTGAGAGTCACTCTAGTCCTGTCTCGCAACGTAACTGTGGACAGAGCTCTGTTTCTGGCATCTCTATCACTTCTCGAAAATGGCCAAAGACTTTGTCACTGTACATATTTCTCACCTTCTTTACCACAGGCTAGGCACTAGGAGCTTTCTTTGGAGCCATGGTAGCTTATTTAGTAATTACAAGCACTAAAATGAGTAGAATATTATGAAATATTTCATAGGAGCACTTGAGGGGATCTTCACTCACTGGTAAACAATGCCAGACTGGCTGGGTAGGGAGGCCGCCCCGGCTCACACCGTGCGTACGCATCCAGGATGAACTACTATTCGTGAGTCAACCTATGAAAAGCGAGTCCATGTTTATACGAAAATACCCCTATGATTGGCGAAATTTACGATTGCCGAGAACTACGAAAAGCGAGGGACCACTGTACAGTGGAACCTTGGTTTTCATATGCCCTGGTTTTTGTAGAATTCTATTTTCAATGACTCTTTTTGTCGAAATTTTGTCCCAGTTTTTGTACATTCACTCGATTTTCATAGAGATGACAATGGTCCGCTGTATCAAACACGTCCGCCAGCCCTCACCCACACAAAGCATCCCACACATTCTGACTCAGTCTGGCTTTTTGTTTCTCGGTGAGTGAGCATTATCCCGCGTATTCATCTGAAACATTTCATAATAATCCATTGTTTTTTGTGCTTATTACCTGGAATTTACCTGGAGATTGTTTCGGGGGTCAACACCTCCGCGGCTCCGTCTGAGACCAGGCCTCACTGTGGATCAGGGTCTGATCAACCAGGCTGTTACTTCTGGCCGCACGCAAGTTGACATATGAACCACAGCCCGGTTGGTCAGGTACCGACTTTAGGCGCTTGTCCAGTGCCTTCTTAAAGACAGCCAGGGGTCTATTGGTAATCCCCCTTATATAGGTTGGGAGGCAGTTGAACAGTCTTGGTCCCCGGACACTTATTGTGTTGTCTCTCGATGTACTTGTTGCGCCCCTGCTTTTCATTGGGGAATGTTGCATCTCCTGCTGAGTCTTTTGCTTTCATAGGGAGTGATTTTCATGTGCAGGTTTGGTAGCAATCCCTCCAGGACCTTCCAAGTGTATATTATAATGTATCTCTCTCGCCTGCATTCCAGGGAATACAGATCAAGGACCTTCAACCATTCCCAGTAATTTAGGTGCCTTATCATGCCTATATGTGCCATGAAAATTCTTTGTAAACTCTCTAGGTCTGCAATGTTGCCAGCCTTGAAGGGGGCCGTTAGTGTACAGCAGTATTCCAGCCTAGAGAGCACAAGCGATTTGAAGAGATCTTGGGCTTGGCATCCCTAGTTTTGAAGGTTCTCATTATCCATTGAGTGCAACTGCTAAATAAGCCAACATGGGGACAAAGAAAATTCTGAGTGCCAGGTCTTTGATAAAGAAGGCGAGAAACATGATAGAATTCAAGAAAGAACTCGTAGCAAAGTATGAAAGTGGCTTACGCATAGCCGATCTCGCCAGTAAAAGACAAAGAAGGTAAGTAACTCTGGATAGGGCCTTGATACATCAAGTCCTATGGAGGAGGATTACCCTTCCAAACAATAACCTTTCCTCCTCGCTCTTCCCTCCCCACCATCTTCCACGCCAACAAGAGTCTTCAATAAAGGTAAAAGTTATGTTAAATGTTCATTTATCCATTTCATTAGTCATTTATATTTATTTCTCATTGTTTTCTGTATGTAAAACTATAGTTATTCTCTATAAAATGTATTTTTTTGTTAATATTTTTGGGTGTCTGGAACAGATTAATTAGATTTACATTATTTCTTATGGGAAATATTGCTTCAGTTTTCGTACAATTCAGTTTTCGTCACTTTCTGGAATAAATTAATCACAAAAACCAAGGTTCCACTGTATGATAATGGTAAACACTTGGACTACAAATTCTCTACCCTTCCTCTTTTCTGCTCCTCTGTAATCCTACTTTGTCTTACCCCTAACACTTTCAATAATAATTCTACTGTCAACTTTATCTGGTATACTCGGAAGGCTTATTCCACCTATATTTCTTACAATCTCTCATCCTCTTTTTTCATAATAACAGAGAACTATGCACACTACCAATTTTTGCATACCTTCCTTTATTTCATGTATATACTGAACAAACACACCAACCACTCCAACACTGTCCCCACCTGCTCTTAACATCGTTGTCTTAGCCCCATCTATCCCAACTCCTTTACCCACTGCCTCACACATTTTCCTCACATCCATCTCAGGCTCTTCACCCCTATAAAATGCTAGTCCCTCCCTGCCTCATACATGAAATCACTGCCTCTCCTCATCACTAACATTCAACAACTCATCAACATGCCTCTCTATCTTTCCAATACCTCTGCCTCCCCATCTATCATCTTTCCTATTTCAATTTAATAGCTAAGTCCATTTGATCCTCACCTTACTGATCCATCTCCAAAAATAGCTTTTCATTCTCAGCAAAATTTGATGATGACAAAGACTATATTTAACATAAGTGGCACATTATTCATTAGATAATAATTTTTTACATGATGTAGTTCTCTTCAGAGCTGGAAGGTAATGTAAATCTCCCACACTGACCTCAGGAAAAGCCATGCTAAGGTTCCAGTTGGTTAAAGAGACTAGGCTCTGTGGAAGGTGAAACATGCCCAGGAGGTTGGAGGTTACTCCTGCAGTGGAAGCCACACCAGAGAGAGTTTTATTCATGATGGCCAGTGCATTCTGCAGGTGAGGTTTGATCAAGGGCGTGATAATTTTCTGCTCCTGCAAGTCAAATATTTTGTTTAACGATTGGGGGTTTGATTATAAGCACCTTTTTGAGGCAAAAGGGATCACAGAGTTGCCCTACTCAGCCAGCAGCATATTCTTGGTAGTATATAATGAAGAATTAGTCACACATTAAAGGTAAGGTAAGTGAAATGCATAAAACAGACTGTGTGGTGCTATTCATGAGCTAATCATAAAATAATGAACTTTTTTATTATTATTATTATTATATTATTATTATAGATGCCCCGATATTGGTAAACGGCTTGAGCCAAGGAAGTGGATCCATTCTCCCCTTCCTTGGATTAAGCCTGATTACTGCCCATTTCCCAGGCACTGTATAGCTTACGATATTACCTGTTTCCCATGATTACAACAACAATATTGCTAGTTTTTATCTCAGACAATAAAGCACCATATTTGTTTATCGAGCAAGGGGCTAGTAACCCCTTCTCCTGTATATATTACTAAAGTTATGAAGAGAAACTTCTGTTTTTCTCTTCGGGTCATCCTGCCTTGGTGGGATGTAGCCAGTTTGTTGAAAGAAAAAGAAGACTTGTTTGTAATTTTATTCTAAAAAAATTATATGAAAAACTAAAAAATTGGGGCCAATTTTCTTAATTTTATTTCCCTAATTTTCCCCGTTTGGGAAAAATTAAATCCCCCAATCCCAAAAGGGGAATTTAAGGTTTTGGTTAAAATTTGGGGGGGAAAAAAATTTTTAAATTTTTACCCCTTAATTAAACCACAAAAATTTTTTTTAGAAATTTGGGTAAGGTTAAATAAAAACCCGGATTTTGGCTTCCGGGAAGTAAAACTTTAAAAACGTTTTGGGGGGGTTTTTTAAAAAATTTTTAAAACAAAAAAAAGAAAGGGTTTTTCCGGCCTTTGGGGGCCGAGTACCTTTGAAATTAATTTTAAGGGAAGAAATTATGGCAAAAAAGGAAATAAGTTTAAATTGGAAAAAAAAACTTGTTGCATTTCGGGGCTCATAAAAAAAACAAAAATTTTTATTATATTTTTAAAATTAAAAATGAGGAATCCCCGGGGGAAGGGGGGGAAAACGGTTTGACCGGAAGGGAAAAAAATTTTTTCCCCCCCCTTTCCTTGGTTTCCAAATTTTTCCCCCTTTCCCGGGCATTGGGGCTTCCCATAACCAGGAAAAAAAATGAACAAAAAATATTGCTTTTTTTTTATTCGGGCTAAGGAAACCTATTTGGTTTTTCGGAATTAAAAATTCCCCAATCCTTTTTAAATTTAAAAGGGGGAAAAGTTTAATTTCTGCTTCCTTTAAACCTGCGGGGGGGTGTATGGGAATTAAAGAAAAAAAACCTTGTTTTTAAAAATTTAACTTTAAAAGGATTTTTTCATTAAAAAACAACCCCATAAAGGGGGAACAAATGTCTAAATTTTGGGAAAAAAAACCCTTCCCCTTTAAAAATCAAACCCTTTTTTTTGTAAAATTCAAGGGTCCCGTTTTCCCCAAAAAAATTGTAAAACAAAACCTTTGTTTTAAAAATAATAAAAACAACCTTAAATTTAAGAAAATTTGGGTTTTTGCCTTTTTAAAAAATTAAATAAAAAAAATTAAAATTAATTGTTGAAAAGAGAAAAAATTTTTACAATATATACCCCAAAAGTATTTTAAGAATTTATAACCTTTTGGCCCAACCCAAAAACATCCACAAAAAAATATTTTAAATTTTTAATTTTTTAAATTCCCACTAAACAAATATAAATTCTATAAAATTTTTTTTGTTAAAAAATTTTTACCTTTTGGTAAAAAACCCATTTAGCCCTTTTCCGGGGTTTAAAATTTTTAAAAATTGGGTAAAACAAAAAATTAAAAAACTTTTTAAAAAAATTTTTTAAACCCCCCAAATTTTTGGGGGAACCCTAAAATCTCCATTTTTTAACCAAAAATTTTCCCAAAATAATTTCCATTTTTAAATTTTTCTCCTTTTGCCCTTCCCGGGGGGGTTTCAAAAAAGGGGAAAACCTTTTCAAAATTCTGATAATTTTTTAAAACCAGGGGGGCTCAATCCGGGGAATTTGGGTAAGATTTCCAGGTTTGCCCAAACATAGGGAAAGAATACCCCCATTTAAGGGATTTCCCAAAGGGAATTCCCCCCTAACAGGGAAAAATTAACATTAAAATAGGAAACCCAATTGCGGAAACCAGTTTTTTATTTGCCCCCTGGAATTCATCAAAAACTTTTTAAACCCCGGTTTTAATTTTTAAAATTAAACAAAATTTTCATTTTGTTAAAATTAAAAACGGTTTATAAAATTTATTTGTTTTTAAATTTTTTAAAGGGAACCAATGCCCATAAAGAAAATATAAGGGAAATTGATTTAACCCCTTTTCCCAAAAAGGGGTCCCCCTTTTTGTTTTTAATCTAAACCCAGAATTTTTTTTAAATCCCCCATAAATTTAAAAATAAAAAAAGAAACCAAACCCTTTTCCCCCAATCTTTTTTCCTTTTCCCAATTATTAAAAAACCCAAGAACCCCCTTTTGAAAGACCCAAATTTTTTAAAATTTTAAATAAAATCCCTTTAAAAAATTCAAGCACTTATTTCCCATTAAAAAATGAAAAGAAAAAATTTTAACCCAAAAGCTACTAATAAAAGGGTGCTTTTTTGTTTCCCTCCATACGGCCTTTCCCAATTTAAGAAAAATTTTTGAAATTTTATTAACCAAAATAAAAAAAAGGCCCCACTGATTTAAAAATTTTAATTAAAAACAAGATTTTTTTTAATTTTTTAAAAATTTTAAATTTGTTTAATTCATGAAATAATTTAATGGGGGAAAAAACCCCTTTCCTTTTTCATTCCGAATTTTTAAATCCATTTTGGGGGCCAATTTAAAGTTCCCCCAGGGGGAATCTTTTTGAAAAAAATTTGATTTTTAACGACCCCCAAAAATAATTACCCACACATAAATTTTAACACTTAAAAAAAGGTAAAAAATTGGGGAACGATTAAACCCCCGGGGGGTTCCATTTTAATTAATTCCTTTTAGAAAACCCAAAGGGAAATTTAAAAAGGGGGTTAAATAACTTTTTCCAGGAAAAAAAATTTGTTTTTAAAGGGAAAATTTCACAAATAAGGGAAATAAAGGTTTTTGATTAAACCCAATTATTAAGGTTTTTGCCCCTTTGGGTTAAATTTCCCCATTCCTGGGGCCCCGGGTTTTTTCCCCCCCCCTCCCCCTTTTCTCCCAAAATTCTTAAAACCCCCCTTTTCCCTTAAAAAACCCATTTAAATGACTTGGGGGTGGAAAAAAAAAAGTAAAAAAATTTTTACTACGTAAAAGGGGAAAAAGCAAATTAATAAAACTTTTCCTCCAATTCAATATATTTTTGGAAATTTTCCCTTTTAACCAAAAAATAAAAAACCTTTTTCATTTTTTTTTTAAAATTAAATGGTTTTAAAATTCACCCATTTTTTAAAAGTACTTGGGGACCCCCCGGAATGTTTTTTTCTTAAAGGGGGGCGGGTAACCCTTGCCTTTTCCCTTGGGAATTTTGGAAAGTTTGGGGCCCATTTAGCCCCAAACCAAAAACGAAAAGTTAAAAAAACCCATTTAAAACGCCCAGGGGAAACAAATCTTAATAAATTATTTTTCCCCCGAAATTGGGAAAAAAGGGGAAAAACCCCAGTAGGAAAAGGGGAACCGGATATTCCTGTTTTTTCCGGCTGCTTTTTAAAGGTTAGCTCTGGTTAAAACCCCCCCCCCCCAAAAGTCGTTGGGGTTGCCCCAAAACAAACTTGACCCACCCCCCCCACAAAATCATAAGAAAAAGGCTCCTTTTTCTAGGGAAGGGGTTAAATTTCCCACCAATAAACCCCCTTTTTAAACCCAACAAAATTTTTAAATTTAAAAACCAAATTTTTTTTTTTTTCATTTCTAATTTTTCCCTTAAAGGGGGGGTAACCTTTTTTTTTCCCCTTTTTTTTAAAAAATCTTTCCCAAAAAAAAAAAGTTTTAAAATCCGGGGGTAAAAACTTTTTTCTTTTCTTTTATATTTTTGAAGGAAAAACCTTTAATTTTTGTCAGGGTAAAAACCCTGATTCCTTCACAACTGTTATTTAAGGGCATAACATGTAAAATGTTTTTCCCCCCCTGTGAAATTATGAACTAAATTTACGAAGTTAAACCCCCCAAACAACCCCAATAACTTAAAACTTTAAAATTTTTTTTTCCACATTTTTTTTTCTTTCAAGGGGGGTTTTAACACCTTTTTCTAATTTCCCAAAGTTTTTTTTTGAAAAAAATTAAAGGGGGTTTTACGGAAAGTAATTTTTTTTCTATTAAACCCCAGTAGGCAATTTTTTAAAATCTGTTTAATTTATTCGGGGGTTTGAGTCCTACCCCCAACGTTTTCAAGGGAAAATGACAAACCATTAAAAGAAATTTGGGGGGGAAGTTAAACTTTTAAATTTTAATAAACAAAAAAGGAAATTTTGGAAAACAAATTTAATAAGACAGTAATTTTAGATGAACCCAACAAAGATTTTTCCCCGGGTTTAAAAACCCTGGAGGTAATCCCGGGGTAAAAATCCCCAAAAAAACAACTCACCCCCTTTTAACGGTTTTAACCCAATTTTAAAGTTTTTTTTGGGGATGTTTCCCAATCAGGGGGGCCCCCGGAAAACCTAAAAAAAAAGGGGGAATTAACCATTTAAAAACAAAACTAAGGAAATTAACAAAAAATTTATTTCACTATTTTTTTGGGGTTTTCCCCGGGGGCCCCCTGGGGAAAAAAGCTCTAAACTTCCCCTTTTTTGGGGAAAAAAGGATTTAGTTTTTCCAACCGGCGAGGCGGTGGGAAAAGGGAAAATTAAAATTCCCCGTTAACCAAAATTTTATTTCCCCCAAAATATTTAAAAGGGCCCCCCCCCCCGGGTGTTTAAAAGTCCACTTTCACAAAATTTGGGGCCGGGTTTCCCAAATTTGGCCCAAAACCTGAAAAAGCCTACAACCTTTGAAAATGCCTTTCCCCCCTTTAAAAAAATG